GCAACAATTACCGTGAAAAATATTAAGACATGAGGGAAACTGGGAAAAGATATTTGTCATGTGTACAACCCACAATGTCTTGTGGAGATTATGACACATTTATTAGTCCCCCTTTGTCCACAGGGGATGCACTCCAAGGCTCCCAGAGGAAGCCTGAAACCTCAAATAGTACTGAACCACACACAGTTGTGCCTCAGAACTCAAGGGGCTTTGGTTCCAGGACTTTGCTGTGATTCCAAAATCCAAGAATGTTCAAGCCCTTTCTAAGAAATGGAGTAGTGTTTGTGAAGAATCCAGGTACACCCTCCTGTAAACTTTAAATCATCTCTAGATTACTTGTAATACATAATACAATGTAAATACTATATGAACAGTTGTTGTACATTATTGTTTAGGTGATAATGATAAGGAAAAAAAGTCTGTACATGGTAGGTACAGATGTAATTTTTAAAGGACATTTCCTGAGATTAGTTGAATTTGTGGATACAGAACCATGGATACAATTATGTATACCCTATTTTCCTAATCATGCATACACAACTGTGATAAATTTTAATTTATAAATTAGGTATATTAAGATATTAACAACAATAATAAAATAAGCAATGATAACAACATATTTTAATAAAATTGCCAGCATCACTACTCCTGCACTTTGGGGTCATTACTAAATAAAATAAAGATTACCTGAACACTGCAATACCACAGTCGAGCTGATAGAGGGCTACTAAGTGCCTAAAGGGTGAGTAGTGTATACCGTGTGGATACACTGGACAAAGGGATGATTCAGGTCCTGCATGGGATGCATCTCATCACACTACCCAGAATGGTGTGCAATTTAACTTGGCAATTGTTTATTTCTGAAATTTTCCACTTAATATTTTCAGCCACAGTTCACCATAAGTAACTGAAACTACAGATGGTGGCAGGGACTACAGTTGGCCTCTGTATTCAAGGGTCCCACATCTGTGAATTCAACCACCCTAAGGCAAAATATTTGGGGGAAAACTTATGCTTGCAATGAACTTGTATAGACATTTTTTATTGTCTTATCCCCTAAATAATACTATGTAACTATTTATACGACATTCATATTGTTTTAGGATCATAAGTAATCTAGTATTGATTTAAAATATATAGCAAGATTGTATGGATTATATTCAAATATTATGCTATCTTATATAAGGGATTTAAATATCTGCAGATTTGGGGATCCTCCATGAGTCCTGGAACCAGTCTCCCATAAGATACCAAGGAACAATTGTATAAACCTACAATGTGTGCTAACAATAGCACAAAAGATGGTAAGGATGAACTATTGTGAGGTTATTGCACCAGATGTAAAGTAAGCTGTTAAAAATTAAGGATACATATATTGTAAAACTTAGGGCAGTCATTTAGAGATGTAAGTAATAAGTGAACTGTAACTTTAAAAAGTAGAATATTAACATAAAAATAGACTTACTCAAAAATAGCCTCAAAACTGGCCCCCTCAAAATGGAGAGAAAAGTATTATTAAACACTTGGAACCCACAGAAAATAACTAGCAAGGTGGTAGATTTAAGTGCAATCATATCTGTGGAGGAATAACTTCTAATGTTCTAGAACTGAGTAGGATAACTATGGTAGACAACCACAGTTAATTGAACATTTCAAAATAGCTAGCAGAGAGGAGTTTAAATGTTCCCAACACAAAGAAACAATCAAGATCTGATCAATATGCCAATTACCCTGATCTGATCATTACACATTGTCTACATATATAGAAATGTCACACTATACCCTACAAATATGCACAATTACTATGTGTCAATTAAAAACAAAAGTATATTTTTAAAAATAAATGAAATAATATCAGCAATTATCTCCACCACTCGACCAGCACGCTGGTTTCATTAAAGAGGTTCGTAGCATAGAAGTTAACTAGTGAGATCGAAATAAACACACAGACTCAATTACCTTTTTCTATGACCAGGTCCCAGAGGGCTCTCCCCTCTGGCTCCTGCCTCAGCCACCTTGTGGAGCAGTGAGGCTTACTCAGGACTAGCAGGAGAGAGAGCTCGCTCGCCAGGGAGTAGCCTTTTATTGGGGAACAAGAAATTCAGGGGAAAATTCCATCCAATGAAGGTCGAGGGGGGCAGTATTCCAAGGTCAGGGTCAGTGATTGGTCTCAGGGTCAATGGTCAGTCACACCCCCACATGGACAGGCTCTTGCACCTGGAGAGGGTAGGGATTAGCTCCGACACAGTTTGGCCAGAACGCCTCACACACAATCAGGGAGGTGCCCAATCATGTGCGAGAATGGCTTCCCACAATTATCTTAAATGTTCAGTGATGGGATTAATATCCAGATTATACTGTTTACACAACCTCTATAAACCAGTACGACAAAAGCCTTACAACAGAAAAAGGCAAAGGATGTGAAGAACAAATTCACAGAGGAAGAAAACTTAATGTCAGTAGCATAAATATGAAAATGTTCAATTTCTTTGATGGGGAAATACAACTATATATGCAAATTAAAATAATGAGTTATCAGGCTAGGGTTGTGGCTCAGCGGTAGAGCGCTTGTCTAGCACATGCAAAGCCCTGGATTCAATCCTTAGCCATATAAAAATAAATAAAATAAAATGAAGGTATTATGTCCAACTGCAACTAAAAAATAATATTTTAAAAATAAATAAATAATGAGTTACCGGTTCCTACTCCTTAAATTGGGAAATGATCTAAGTCCCTCATCACTAAGAGTTGGCAAGGACCAGAAAACAGATCATGTATTACTGTGGGAGCTACCTCTGGTGAGCCCTCTGGGAAGACTGGGAAAGCTGAAGGTGCTCCTGTCACCCAGTAATCCATGTCTAGGTCCCTCTCCTGGGGACATTTTCCAACCGGGCGGAGTGAGATGTGCGCAGAAGTTCCTGGCAGCAGGTTTGTCTTCCTTCCCCTCAGGGGAAACAGGAGTTTTAAGTACTCAGTGAAATACTATATAGTGGTTAAAATGAAAGAACCAGATAGGCTTGGTTAAACATGACTCTGTCTCAAAAACACAATGATCCACACACACAAAGAGCAAGTTGCAACAAGATATGGACTGAATAATATAATTCACCTAAAATCTTAAAACATCAAAACCAGTAGCATGCAACTGTGGATGCACACGTGACAGGAAATGCATAAAGCCACGGTGTGGTGGGAGCGGGTGGCCTTGCCTTATTAGTATCCATAACTTTCCGTTTTTAGAGACGCTCTGCTCTGAGCGGTGGCCTGGGGCCGTCTGCTCCCATGGCCCTCCAGGCCAGCTCCACGCCTGACCTCCCAGGGGTTCGTGAGGGAGGCACACGCTCTGCCCCTTCTTCCCTTGCGCGTTCCAGTTGGGATTCACCCCTGGGAACCGGGCACCTGCTAATGCCCCCCTCCCTGCCCCATTTCACCCCCAGTCCCTGCCCCACTCGGCTCCCAATAAACGACGCTAAGTGAGCCTGTCCAGCAAGGCCAGGGAAGCTCTGCCACTCCTTTGGGGACCCTCTTGGCTAGAAAGCACTCACTGGAGGGACGGAAACGTCACTTGGGGTCACTCCCTCTCGGCCTCAGTTTCCTCCTGAGTGCCCCGTCTGGCCCCTTGCAGGCCGGCGCCCGAGGACTGGAGGAATTCGCTCCCCTCGTGTGGAAAACAACCCTCGGGCGCTTCACAAAAGCACCCACCCGCTCGCCACCCTGGGAACCGCAGCCCGCTGCCCTGGGACCCGGGCTGCAGCGCGCTGGTCACATGAACTCGGGGCTTTCTCTGGTGTGACGGCTTCCTCAGATCCCTTTGTGCGCGCAGGTTTTGAAAGGGAACGGCCCGGGTCCTGGGTGTGAGGGGAGCAGGAGCCGGCGGGAGGAAGGCTGTCGGAGCCAATCGACCCGCCTCCAGACCCCAGCACGTCGCCGGGGCTGCGCGCTCCGAATTCCGCCCCGCCGCGCGCCGCCCGCCTCGCCCCGCGGGTGCCCGGCCGGGAGGACCCCAGGTGAGAGGCCCGGGGTCCCGGGGGGAGGCCCGGCGGCTCGGCCCGGGCTCCACGACGGGCTGGCCCGGCTCAGGGCGTGTCCGTCGCCGCCTGGCTGCTCGCTCGACACTGTTCGCTCCTACCGGCTGTAGATGGAGCTGTCTGGGTTCCGGCAGCCTCCGACGAGCCTCGGAGTGTTTCTCTTTAAACGGCCTGAGAGGGACATGCCTCCCAGGATGCAGTTTGTATCAACATGGCAGCTGCTGTGCAGCTCCCCTGCTGAAGAGGCGCCGGGACGGCAGCGCAGCTCGCAGCCGGGGCCAGGGCAGGAGCCGGGGTCGCAGCGGCGGCCGCAGAGGGGCGGCGCGCGGGCCGGGGGCCGCTGCTGAGGGCCGGGGCCCAGCTCGCGGCCGGGGCGCAGCCGGCCGGGCCGCCCGCACAGCCGCGCGCCCCGCTCCGACGCCGCCGCCCGGGCTCCGCGGCCCCGCGCCCGCGCGCCCCGAGCAGGCCGGGGCCCGACGGCCGCGCGCGAGCCCCGCGGGGAAGGCAGGACCGCGCGGCGCCGCCCGCGGAGAGGACCGGGCGGCCAGGCCTGCGCGCGGCGGCGGCGGCGGCGGCGGCGGCTCGCGGGGCCCGGGCCGGACAGCGCAGGGCCATGGCCGAGGCGGCCCCGGCGCCGGTGAGGGCGGCCCGCGCGCGCACGGACGCGCGGCCTCGGGGCTCTGGGGACGGCCTGCGTGCCCCGGGCTCGGCGGCCCGGCCTGGGGTCTCGGTAAGGGACGGGAGCGCTGCGACGTTGGCGGGGGAGGGGGCGCCCTGGAGGGCTCGCGCGCCCTGGGGCTGGGGGGGCGCTGCGGGCCGGGGATCAGCCGCCGTCCGTGCGAGGCTGCGCGGCCGCCGGACCCCGGCACACGCGGCCCCGAGGTGGGGCGCCGGCGGCGCGCTCGCTCGCTGCGGAGCCGGCGCTGCGTCCGTCGGGGTGGCCGCCCGCACGTTTTCCGCAGAGCTCGGCCCTGCCGAGCCTCTCCCGGCCCGGGCGCGGCGCTGACGCGGCTCTCCCATTTCGCAGAGCGGAGACACTGAGGCACAGACACCTGGCGGCGACCTGCCCTGCCTGCCCCAAGGTCACGTAGCGACTCATCCGTGGCACGGTGCCCGCAGCCTCGGAAAGGCCTGCCTGGCGGGCTGCGGGCCTGGACGGGGAGGGGGCGGCCTGGGCGGGCGGGCGGTGGCTGCGGCCCGTCGGGGAGGAGGGGAGGCCGGGCAGCGCCCCTGCGAGTGTCTCCGCGGCGGGGAGCTGGTGACCCTCCGGGCTCTGGCCCTGACCGCTGCCAGCCTCTGCGTCTGGAGGGCCTGGACCGAACTTTGGGTGTCCTGACGGATGGGGCCTGGGGCTGCTGTTCCTCCTCAGTGCACCATTCTTAAAAACCAGCCTTTAAACGCCCTCAGCCCCCAGTGTGCTCACTGAGACGCCCTGGCTGTGCTAGTGGGGTTTGCTGCATGAGAATCAGTGCCTTTGAGCCCCACTTTCCTATCGAGTACAGGAAGGGGGGGAGGGCATGCTTGGCTTTCTAAACAACCCCCCAGTTCTTAAAATAATAATAATAATAGAAACTCTTGGGAAATAAAATGAAGATTTTTACCTGCCAGACCTCTGGGTTTAGGTCTTCAGGGCCTTTTAAAGGTATATAATTCTGGGTGAACCATCCTGGGTCATGCAAGAAAATTGCACAGCTTGCGTAAGTCAGATAGTTGTTTATGTGTATCTCTACTAATGTGGCATGAATCCCGGAGGCCTCATCGCTTATGCTACACGGGGAAGAGTGGGACTGTTAAATCCTATGAAGTATGGTTCAGAAGAATTCAAACCCTAGCCCCTCCCAGCAGTTTTAAGAATTGGGCTTATTTGTTTTAGATAATTTACTGCCCCTCTGTTTGATCATTTCTTTCTGCTTGGGGTGAGATCAAGCCACAGGTTTACTGGGAGTGATGACATTATAGCAGGCTGCTTTTGTTTGGGGGCTGGGGGAGGGGGCATGCCCCAGTGGCTCTTCATCCCTTTCGAGTTCCCCAAATCCCAAAATGGAGAGAGATGGTCCAATAATAGAAAGCAAAGAAATAGTATTTTCCTTTGAGCTGATTAGACTGGTTGGTAAAGATGTCTTGCTCTGCTGGCTTTATTTTCTACACTGGAGCTTTTTTTTTCATTGTTTCACTTAAACCCCTGTATTACTCTGGGAGGCTAACCTGGCCTCCAGGGATTTTTCCCTTCTTCCTACTAGCTGTAGGCAAATATCCTAATTCCCCCCCCACCCCAAGACAGGGCCATAATGTGCCTATTGTGTTGCATTATGCTAGCCTTTACCTGTGATTGGGGCCTCTGCCTAAGGGGCCACCCAGACCTGCCTTCACCTGGGAACAGTGCCGGGTTGAGAGTGGGCTTGGTTGATGAGCCTTCGGGTTGAAGGCATCTGTGAACTCAATAAATGTTAGCAGAATTTTGCACATGTGGCTACCTGTATTTTTTGAGAACCCAGAACTTGCATTAGGTTTTCTAAGGGGCCCATGACCCTGCATAAATGGTAATGTCTTTAAGGGCATGGCCTTCCACCCCATCTTGGCCACCCCCAGGAAGCCTCCCACAGGTCTGGATTATCCTCCAGCCTCTGATCCGAGCACATACCTACTGGCTGCCTCAGTAGACAGTGAGGCCCAGAGGCAACTGACAGGCTCTGGAGCCAGGCAGCTGTGTGACTTGGGCCAAGTTACTTAGCCTCTCCTATCCGTAGTAACTTTGTGTGCTAGGTGTGGATAGTGATTCTGATAGTCCCTATTTCATAGGGTTTTGTGAGAACTAAATGAGGTAATCCTTTAAAATGCTTATCACAGTTCATGATACAATAAACTTTGAATGATTATAGCTATTCCTGACTAATTAGCTCTCACATCAAAGGACAAATGCATGGTACTTTCTCAAAGACCTTTTGCTGAAGGGTTCTTGAATCTTCAATTCTTAGCTTAAAAGTGTGATGTCATTTCAGCCAAGCTGCTTATACATGAATAAATGAACACATAAAAGAAAGAAAACTGTAGAGGTCTAAAGAAGTTTTGGATGTGTCTGATAGGTGACTCAAGGAACTTCATTATTTATTCCCATAATTTTGTTGTGACTCAGCAACTTACTGTTGATTCATTCAGCTGATGTTTATTGAGCACATGCTATATAATCAGACTGCACACCAGGGAAGGTCTAATTTTCAAATAGAGAAAATGGAAGATTTAATTACTTTAAAGATCACTTGTATATAAAACATAGTAATTGAGCAGATTCATTGAAGGAAGATCATGAAGAGATGGACAGAAATTGTTATAGGAGAAATTCTTTTCATTACAATAAAGGTACCGCTTCACAGGGTAAATACAGAGCTGGTCACACACGGAAGAACATGGCTTCACCTCCCTGGTGATTAGAGTTCTCTCAGGTGGATGTGGTGAGGTGGGAATAGGGAGAGTGAGGATCCCTGAAGTCCCAAAAGGAAACATCTTTATTTTGGTTCTAGGCCACACCACTCTGACCCAAGTCTCTAAATGGGCTGACTTCTGCGCGGCTTCCTGTCCTGTCCTTCCAGTCCTCCATTCTTCCTCACTCCCACGTCCCCACTAGGAACACAGCCCGCCAGAGAACACCTAGCCTAGGGCCCACCTGCCCAGAGACCTGGGCTCCTGTAGGAGGGCTGAATCACCTGCTGCCTGGTCTCCCTGTCCCCCTCTTCTGTGTAGCAGAAGCTAGAGAGGTCAGAAACGTGGGCCAGGATGACACAGGCAGCCGTGGGTTCAGATGGGCGATAGCCAAGTGTTCTAATTCATGTCTGTACCCTTCCCTTGTCCACACTACTCACAAGATGAAATCTGTGAAAGGTACACTGTGAGAAGGAGGCGGTGCTACAGGAAACAGGGTGGCATACCTGTCTTTTATTTGGTGCTCCCAACAGCTTTATCATTGATGTCAAATCAGTGCTGCAGTCTCAAGAAGAGATTCACGTTTATGGAGCATTTCTTATTGCTACAAAAGCTGATGGCCTCTTATATGAACATTAGGGATTTATTTTGACTGCTGGAGACTGTGGCCTTCAATCTGTCTTTTCCTTTCTTTCCTTGAATATAGGTCCAGCAGCAGGACATGGAAAACCAACGCTCATCACCTCTGTCATTCTCGAGTGTCCCGCAAGAAGAAACCCTACATCAGGCCCCAGCTGGACTCCCCAGAGAAACTCTACTCCCATCCCAAATTCTTCCCCCCAAAGAAATTCCTTCTTTGTTGCCTACTGTTCCCCGGCAAGGCTCCCTGCCCCAAACTTCCAGTGCTCCCAAGCAAGAGACTTCTGGCCAGATGCCGCATACACCCCAGAAGGGACCGTCACTCCTGTATCCTGCCACTTCTGAACAAGAGACGCATCTCCAGGGCCACCTGGCTTCCCAGGAAGAGACCCAGTATCCTGCTGACCAGGAAATCTCCCTTCTCTCCCACTCTGCCCACCATCAGGAAGCCCCACTCCACTCCCCTGAAGTTCCTGAGAAAGACCCCCTGACTCTTTCCCCCACAGTCCCTGAGGCTGACATGGACCCCCTGCTCCAGAGCCCAGCTTCCCAAAAGGACATCCCCTTCCAGGTCTCTTCTGCAGCCCAGAAGGAACAGTCACTGCCCACAGCAGAGATCACCCGCTTGGCCGTGTGGGCTGCTGTCCAAGCTGTGGAGAGGAAACTGGAGGCCCAGGCCATGAGGCTACTGACCCTGGAGGGCAGGACAGGGACAAATGAAAAAAAGATAGCCGACTGTGAGAAGACAGCCGTGGAATTCGCAAACCATCTGGAGAGCAAGTGGGTCGTGCTGGGGACCCTGCTGCAGGAGTATGGGCTGCTACAGAGGCGGCTGGAGAACATGGAGAACCTGCTGAAAAACAGAAATTTCTGGATCCTACGGCTGCCGCCAGGGAGCAATGGAGAGGTTCCCAAGGTACGCTTGTCCCCCTGGGGCTTCCCAAGAAGTGGTCTGAATTGGAGTGATTTAGGAATTTAGTTTAATTGAAAAAAAGGAAAGCAGTTGTTGAGAAAGAATAAAACATACCCAAACCTAGTTGCCAGTGTTGCTTCACCAAGAACAGGACTCACAAAAGCAAGATATTTCTGCTGTTGGTAAAAGCACTAGTACAAAACTGCCCCCAGGATCAGGATCACCATTTAGAAGCCTGTTCAGTAGAGCTGTCCTCAACAGGTGAGGACAGAAGGCAAAGCCAAAGCCTAAAGAGAATGCCATGCAGAGGCTTGCAGTCAGATACAGCCACCCTCCATACCTCAGGTTCTGCATAGCTTCCACCTAACTATGGTTGGAAAATACCTGACAAAAGAAAATTGTGTCTGTGTTGAACACACACAGACTTTTTTCCTTGTCATTATTCCCTAAAGAGTCTAATCATTATTTAGGTGGTGTTTACATTGTATTAGGTATTGTAAGTATTCTAGAGATGATTTAAAGTACACAAGAGGACCTGCAGAGGTTACATGCAAATACTACACTATTATTTATAAGGAACTTGACATCCTTGGATTTTGGTATCTTTGGGGGTTCTGGAAGTAATACCCTATAGATACTGAGCACCATGAGCATTAATCAGTGGTTCACCCCCAAGGTGGCCTGAGGGAGGCTGTAGGTGAAGTTCACTTATAAATCATGTTCATGCTAGTGAAACTGATTTTATGAGGTATCCTTAAAAAACTAGAGAACAGCTAGGTTTTAATCTTATTTTTCCAGAAAGTTCGGAAGGAGCTAAGTATAGACTGGTTTTCTTTCTGTTTCTCTTTGCTGCTGCCCCTTTTCACAGTCCTGTATTAGAAAACACAGATTATGTGCCTGAGCCAGCCCTTTTGTTACTTATTATGCAGGTGAACCCATGAGGGTCTTTCTAAATGCAGGTGGATTTAGTGGGTCCAGGTGGAGCCTGGAAGTCTGTATTTCCAACACATTCCCTGGTGGTAATATTACTACTGGTCCTCAGATCATGCTTCAGAGCAGCAAGAGCTATCCTGTGAGAGGCAAAGGACCAAGCAAGACAGTTCCCCCACTCTTTGTGGCCAGGACAGTGGTCAGACTTCCAGAGAGGTCCTGGTGAAGTCCCAGAGCTGTGGGTGTGGACTTTTCCCTCTGGGTCCTGAGGAGGAGGTATTTGAGCCAGGGCCTGGGGTGAGTCATCGCAATTGACCACCTGTGACTGCCGTCCTCATGGTCCGAGCTGACCTTGTTGTGTGGTTTCAGGTCCCTGTCACGTTTGATGACGTCGCCGTCCATTTCTCGGAGCAGGAGTGGGGAAACCTATCTGAGTGGCAGAAGGAGCTCTACAAGAATGTGATGAGGGGCAACTATGAGTCTCTGGTTTCCATGGGTAAGGACAAGGCTTTCCTCACCAGGGCCGCCTTGACATTGGCATGCAGTCCACTCAGAAACTTAGGGTAGTGGGAAACAAGGCAAGCAGAAGTTTAGAGAGCACAGTGAATGGACACAGTGCCCTGGGCCGCCCACATCACAGGGCAGCATGGGTCAGAACAGCTTGTGCATGGAGATCCCTGGGGCAGGAGGATAGGGCAGAGAAGACATCAGGGTCTCTCGCATCAGTATTTTCCCCGTGGACCCTTCTTAAAAAAATTAGTTTACTCAGCAAACTATTACTAGGGAAGGAAAAAAGAAGAGGGGATGGAAACACACTGGGTGCCACCAGCAGTGTGCAGGGTACTTCCCAAGAGTCACACCCTTCAGTCCTCAGCTCTGCCCTGAGGGAGCCAGGACATTGTTGGCATTCTGTATTCTTATTCAGGTGACTGAACACCTTAGTCCCTCAGGTCCTCATCCCCTTGTGTAAATAAGGAGGCTTGATGAGGCAGCTCACCCTAGGCTCACCCTAGGCCCCCATAAGGAGAACACAGTCTCCTCAAGATTTGTCTTAGAATCTGTGGATTCTTGTTGCTTTCATTAAGAATATTTAGTGTCAAAACCTTGGAAAAATCTACTTCTATTTGTATCCTTTTCTCTGATATGGAAAAATCTTTGGGCATATACAAAACAATTTTTAAACCTTAGATGTGCTGTTGGATAGAACTTTTATCTTTGCTAGAATCGTTAATTTTACATATACCTTTACATAGGATAACCTTCCCCCTTTAAAAAAAATGTAGTCTTTTTTTATATATATATATACACATCTGAGTAACTGTGAAAATTCAACAATTTAGACTGATGTACTAAAGAGCAACCCCCATTCAAAAAATCACCAGCCCCAGGGGGACCACCATGAATGAACCCTTTGGCCCCTGTTCCTGCTCACCTTTTCTGTGTGACATGTGCGTTGCTGCACATGCATGGTGGCCACAGATGACTTTCCACGCAGCACACCTGGGCCTCTCTGGAAAGTGTGGTATCCAGGTGAACATCGGGCTTTCGACCCTTCTGCTGTCAAAGAAGAGTGGTTGATTCCATTTTTCACTTACAGCTCTGCGTATTTGTGTGAAGTTAAGTGTTTGAATAGTGCAGATGTGCAGAAGTGGGTTGCAGAGTAAAGAGGACACACATTTGCTATTTCATGGCTACTGCCGTGGAGCCCCCAGAAGGCTGGACCAGCATGTGTTTCTGCAGTAGTGTGTGAAAATGCCATTTCTTCATACCCTGGCCTGAACTAATGTTTTTCTGTTTTAAATATGAGAGATGGAAAGTGATGCCTCATTATTTTAGTATGTATTGCTTTGATGATGAGTGAACTTACGTATCTTTTTATATATTTTATTTGGCCTGTTGCATTTCTTCTGTATGTGAATTTCCTATCATCTCTTTGTTTTTTTATTTTTACTAATCGTAGAGGTTCTTTATTTATAGCTATGAAGATTAACCCTTTACCATATATGACAGATTTGTGTAGGTGTATGTGTAATATGTATAATGAGTCTGTTTCCTCATCTACAGAACAGGGCTGGAATTAAGGTTTAACATTAGAGCCTGGCATGGGGGTTGGCATGTCACAGCAGCACAGTAAACAGAGCTGTGGTCAGTGCGCTGGGAGTGTCATGCTTTTCTTCATTTTTATAACTTTGTTTCCAAAGAACTTAAAATTTTTTTCTTGGGTGTAGAGGATTGAATACAGGTCTTCATGCATGCTGAGCATGTGTTTTACTACTGAGCTACATTCCCAATTCCAAAACTTTTTTTAGATGTGAGGAAATCTATCAGTGTTTTGCTTTATAACTTTTGGATTTTACCAGGATTAATTTTTTGCTCTAAAAAATTTCAAATATTGTGTGTTTTTGTCATGAAGCCCTGAGCAGGCATTTGCACCTATAACCAGCAAGACACATACAGTATATGCTGAGGAAGTTGGTTGCACATTTGGCCATTTCTGCTGGTCCCTGCAGAGGGGCCATTCCAGGGTACATTCCCATGATAACATTAATAGCATGTTATGTCACCTCATCACACAGTATATTTTCATTCCTTCCTTCTTCAGACTATGCAATTTCCAAGCCAGATCTAATGTCACAGATGGAGCGCGGGGAGAGGCCAGCCATGCAAGAGCAGGAGGACTCTGAGGAAGGCGAGACTCCCACAGACCCCAGCGCTGGTGAGTGGTGAGCATGTAGCCCAGAGCCCTGTGCCCTAGGCCTCAGTACCCAGCACAGAAAATCACAGTCCAGGGTGGATCTGAAAGGCATGGTAGCAAGCTGTACAGGAAAAGGGCCTGCAGGCCCAGGCACCTGCCTAGGGTCCCCACGATCACCTGAGGCATAGGTAACTGATAAACTTAGAATACTGGGGTTCATCTCCTCAGGGATTTTTTGACATGACTCAGGAAAACCTCACTCTTTGCTTGAAATAAAGCCAGTGTACTGACACATGAATGCCTTCCTGCCTGCAAGAAACAGGCATTCATGTGTCAGGGGACTAGTGCTTTTAAACTTCCCAAGAAGGCCACCTCCTGAGTCCTGTAGCCAGTCTCAGAAAGGATAAGGGCCAGGCAGGGATCTTACCAGAAGCATCCTGCAGTGTAGGACTCCAGCAGAGTTTTCTGGATGAGGCCATTAGATGGGGTCAGCAGACAGGCTATGTGGCCCAGAAGTACCCTGGTGTAGGGCTGCCTGCATTTGAATCCAGTTCCTTTCTATCAGTGTCGGTTTTTTGGAGTCTGTTTCCTTATCTACAGAACAGGACTGGAATTAAGGTTTAACACTAGAGCCTGGCATGGGGGTTGGCATGTCACAGCAGCACAGTAAACAGAGCTGTGGTCAGTGCACTGGGAGTGTCATGCCTTTCCCAGTGACTAGATCAGTGGCACACATTCACTGCTGGTGCTTTCATGGTACAGAGTTAGTTTCTGGAAGCTTTGCTCTGCAGTTGCCTTTGGACTTGCATCTCATGCCTCCATCTTCAGTAGAAACATTCCCTTGTCCTTGGTGGGTGCATGTGGCAAGCAAGAATAGCCTAACATCACTGGGGATCATTTCTGTTGCAAAGGGAGGAGATCCAACTGGAGAATTCAGCTTGGGGCCAACTCCCAGGCCTTTTATAAATTAATGTCTTTGATTCGTGGGCCTATAAACTGGCTCTGAAGAGGGGTTCTAGGAACATGAGTAACATCAGCCCTGTGAACTAGGTAGGAAGATAACGAACAGGAGAGATGGACTCTCTGAAAATAGAAGTAATGGCCTGTCTCAAAGAAATCCACTTTCAGAACTTTTTAAGAATTTTCCTGAAAATTTAAATGGAGAGGAGAGGCTGTTCCTGAATTCATTCTGGCAGACAAAAGAGATGAATGCATTTAAAAGTAGATGAGGGCTGGGATATGCTTGCCTCATCCACACAAGGCCCTGGGTGCACTCCACAGCGCCACACGCACACACAAAAGTGGATGAGTTTGCGGGTTGGGGCTGATAGGAGGCACACTGCAGAGTGATCTTTTAGTTGCAGAAAATCAGTGCATACTTTAAAGGTTTGATTGGTCACATCTAAAACAAGGGTCATGTGTGTCAGGAGTGGTGGTGCACACCTGTAATCCCAGCTACTTGTGAGACTGAGGCAGGAGGATTGCAGGTTCAAAGCCAGCCTCAGTAACTTACACCCTCGGCAACTTAGTGAGACCCTGCTTCAAAATTAAAAAAATAAAATGGTCTGGGGATATGGCTCAGTGATTAAGTGCCCTAGGTTGAATCCCAGGTACAAAAAAAAAAAAAAAAAAAAAAAAAACAACAAGGGGTCATGTTGAAATAAAAGAGATTTGAGGTAGAAGAAATGGGAAAGAATACATGGAAAGTAGAGAGTGAGAATTCAGGAGGTTTGATCTGTGTCAAATCCTGAAATACAGCGAGGTCCCAACTGCCTTTGTGGCCCAGGTTCCACTGTGCTAGCATTTTCTTAGAAGGGCTGGGACGAAGAAGATCTGTCCCCTTTCTGTCTACTTTCCCATCTTCATCACTGACAGGCCTCCCACAGAACAGGGCAGAGTCAAAAAGCAACTAACCCCAGCCCACTCTGCACTGGCCCTTGCGTGTCCAGGCCCTGAGAGCTGCTGGGAGTGGAGGCCTCACAGAGCTGTCCTTATGTGGCTGAGCTGTGCCATATTTTTCCACTCGCTGTCTCCAGCCCTGTGGAGCCTGCAGTGGGAGGGAGGACAGGTGTGGGAACTGCCACTCCACAGAGCAGCCTTGAACCCACACCGGCGCTCAGCCAAGCCCCAGTGGAGCCTCACCCCCCATGGCTGGGTGGGAAGCTGCAGGCCTCACAGCCCCTTCACACTGAGGCAGCCGTCCTGTCGTGCATCTTCTCCCTAGAAGAAGGCAGCAGGGTCAGCCTTGAGCCAAACCCAGAGGTCTGACACCAAGCAGGGGAATGTCTGGAAAATGGAAAGCTTTCAGAGTTCCATGATATCAAACATGACAGTGTCATGAACTGGCTAAGTAAACTCATTCAGTAATCTATCATTGAATGGTTTGGATCCCTGAGGGCAAAGAGATCCAAAGAGGGTTCAGAGCAGAGCAGAGGATCAGCCCTGCTCTCAAAATACTTAAAACAGGGGCTCTTGTTCACGGCCCTGCACAGGTGGTCAGGCCTGGAGAAGGCGTGCCGTCTTCACCAGCAGATCAGCCAGAGAAAACCAGGCCAGAGGCATGGCGGAAACGCGCATTTTCACCCATCGCCACTCAGCGTCCAGCCTTTCAGTCTTTTTAGAAAGCAGTGTGATGTTCTCTAGCCTATAGTAGACCCAGAAGGACACAGCAACCAGTGGAAATGGGTAGTAGGAGAAGGGAGGTGGATGGACGACTCCCAGCGCCTGGCTGAGGCACAGGGGAGGCATGATGCTCGATGTGAGGAAACAATGAGAATTTAATTTTGAACACATCTAAAGTAAATCCCGTGAGACACCAAGGAGGAAGCTGCTTAGAGAGTCCGGAATTCAGAGACAGAAATCTGAGCCAGAGGTGCTTGGCACTGGGACATTTGGACACTAGGGCTTTGGTAGCGTAGACAGGAATAGCATGGTCTGTAGAGAAGAGACGAGAGTGCAGTGATTCCTACAGACGCCTGACTCTTGGAGCAAATTGGGGGTCTGGAATAGATTGGTCAGGGCGGAGCCCAGGTATTCGTTTTTTAAAATACTTCCAAGGTGATTCTCATGTGCACCCAGGCCTGAAAATCATTGTTGTAGGATTTGGGGAAAGAAGGAGTAACCAGAGGAATCAAAGGGTGTATAGTTCAGTGGTGGAGAGCTTGCCTAGCATGCACTGGGCTCTGGGCTGGATTCCCAGCACCAAAAAAAGTAAAGCTGCATATGATTTCAAAGAAAGCAGCATGAGTGGCCAGAAACATAGCAAGAAAATTAGGGCAGTACCCCATTGGATGTTTCAAGAGAAGTGTTTCTGGAAGGAGGAAGTGTGGTCAACAATGTTGAATTCTACTCTTAAGCTTAGTAATATGAAGACTGAAAAGTGTCATTGGATTTACACATTAAAAACCATCAGTTGGGGCTGGGGTTGTGGCTCAGTGGTAACTCGCTTGCCTAGCATTCGTGACGCACTGGGTTCGATTCTCAGCTCCACATACAAATAAATAAAATAAAGGTCCATCAACAACTAAAAAATATTTTTAAAAAAAATCAGTGACCTTTGACTTTTGGGGATTGGCCTATTTCACATAGTCTCCACTTCCATCCATTTACCAGCAAATACCATAAAGTCATTATTTATGGGTGTGTAATACTCCATTGTGTATATAAACCACATTTTCTTTATCCATTCATCTGTTGAAGGGCACCTAGGTTGGTTTCATAGCTTAGCTATTGTGAATTGTGCTGCTATAAACATTGAAGAGGCTGCGTCACTATAGTATGCTGACTTTAAGTCCTTCGGATACACACCAAGGAATGGGATAGCTGTTTCATATGGTGGTTCCATTGTTAGTTTTGTTTTGTTGTCATCGAACATTTATTTATTTATTTATTTATTTATCTATTTATTTATTTTAGTTATTTATATGTGCCTCATGCATGCTAGGCAAGCACTCTACCACTGAGCTACAACCCTAGCCCCCATTCCTAGTTTTCTGAAGAATCTTTGTACTGCTTTCCAGAGTGGCTGCACTAATTTGTAGTCCCACCAACAGTTATGAATATACCCTTTTCCCCACATCCCCACCAACATTCACTGTTACTTCTGTTCCTGATAATTGCTATTCTGACTGGAGTGAAAGCTAATCCAAAATAAACAGGGCAGGGAGTAGAAATAAAAGTAAGATCAGAGGAGTAGACAAAGGAGAATGAAGGGAAGGGAGGAAGGATGTGATAGGGAAAGTAGGCGGGACGAGTCTGACCTAACTTTCCCATGTACATATATGAATATACCACAGTGAATCTCACCATCATGTACATCCACAAGACACTGATTAAAAAAAAAAAAAAAATCAAGCGAATAGCAAAAAGAGTAGAGGGAACAGAACATGGAGTGGGTGGGATGAGGGGAGGGGAAGGGGAAGTACTGGGGACTGAAGTAGAACGAATTATATCCCATGCTTTTAAAATTATGTTGTTGTATATTCTATCATTGTATATAACTAAAAAGAACCAAAAAAACTATCAGTGACCTTAGCAAGAGAAAAGTTGGTGGCCTGGCAGGTGGAGAACTGAACAGAGCAGGTGAGAGGTGAACAGGAGGTAGCAGGTAGAGGCAGCAAGAAGTTTGGCTGTGAGTAGGCAGTGGACACCAGGGCAGGAGCAAGGGGTGGGGGTGGGTTTTGTTTGCTGAAGCTGGAGGTGCTGAAGGCTGTCTGACTTTATATTATCAAGTCAGTAAATTCCCAAAAAGCACTTGACTTAAAAATTTCATCTGGAAATGGGAGGAATGCTGGTGGAATGATCTAGTCTATAGGGAAGTGTAAATATAAAACGAAGCTGGTGATGTAAACAAAAGATAGAGAAAAAGTGGATGGAAACATACTGTGATTTGTAAAATTTTTCAGACGAGAGCAGATATTATTTCTTATTCAGTAAAAAGATTTTTTTTAAAAAAAAATACATAATGGAAGACTTTTGAGTTGAAGAAGGCAGATTGAATATGTGGACTCCTCCCTACTCCC